TTTCGTTTTATAACATTTTAAAATTGATATTTAATTTCTAATGTTTTTTAAAATGCATAGGAGTAATAGAGTAGTGGTAGTAGTGTTGTAGGAGTAGTAGGAGTAGCGTTGTAGGAGTAGGAGTAGTAGTAGACTTGTAGTAGGAGGAGTAGTGCTGTAGGAGTAGTAGGAGTAGTGTTGTAGGAGGAGTAGGAGGAGACTTGTAGTAGGAGTAGTGTTGTACTAGTAGTAGGAGTACACTTGTAGTAGGAGTAGTGTTGTACGAGTAGTAGGAGTAGTGTTGTAGGAGGAGTAGGAGTAGACTTGTAGTAGGAGTAGTGTTGTAGGAGTAGTGTTGTAGGAGGAGTAGGAGTAGACTTGTAGTAGGAGTAGTGTAGTAGTAGAGTAGGACTTGTTAATGAGATACTTGTTTCATCATTCCTTTCAAAATATATCAAATTATTTTTAAAAATCAAACACCAACACGTACAGATTACAATCTCCCACGGTCATTTATATATATAGTTCCATTACAATAATAATTAGTTCTTGTTAAACAATAAGTGACTACATTATTACATATTTGTGTGGTACACATATCATTTTGCTGCAAGTGTTCCCATGATGATCTTCTTCTCACCGTCAAGGTGGAACCAGGGCATCATCTTGGTCTTGTTCACGCGGGTCTATACCAACTTGATCTTCTATGGATGATCAGTAAAGAGCGAGAGCTCGGCATAGTTGTTATATTCTTCGAGGCTCTGGACTCCATCGGCTCCCACAATCTTCTGCTTTTTGGATACAACCACGTGTTTTTTGCTGTCTTTAGGCATCGGCCAGTAGGATACTTGTGCACAGCGGCTTGCTAGTACCCACTGGTTTTCTTTGTAGCCTACACTTTGGAGATCCACGGTGGTTAGCCTAAAGTCATCCATGATAACCCCCTTTGGTTTGACCCACTAGCACCAGAACATAGCTAACTGTAGGTCACCGCCATAGTCAAGTTCCCATATCTCTTCAATCTGCCCAAAGTATGTCTTGGTCTACCCCATTGACTCATCGATGCCCTCATATCAAACACCACTGTTCTATGCCATGCTCTTCTTATCCTTCTCCTTTGTGTGGAACCTATATCCATTGATGTCATACCCTTGCCACGTGGTGATTTGGGTGGATGGGCCAGACGCAAGCCTCGCTTCATCGAACTGTCCATGGGGTATGTCCTGTAGCTCTTTGATCAATGTCATGAAACTGATCTTATGCTATTTCTAGACCCATGCCTCTGTGCACTATCCATCATGAGTGGCATGGATCTCCTCCAGGTGCTTGTCAACATATGGTTCCATAACCACTAGCTGATTGAGGACGTTGTGATGAGCTTCTTGCATCGTTTCATACTGTACATCGGTGCATACTTTCCTCCCAGTGCAACCGGTTCCCGAGGTTCTGCCTTCATGCTGAGGGACGGGTAGGCCAATCGCTCTTCCATCTTGGATGTACCTGGTGTAGCAGTTAATGGCATCTTTGGTTGTGTTTGCCTCGATCATAGAGCCCTCTGAATAGGCACGGTTAAGGACGTATTTATTGAGGGTCGACATGAACCGCTCGTATGTCCACATTTGGTGCAGGTATATGGTGCCTAGTTCCTATATCTGATCAACCATGTGCATCATCAGGTGTGGCATAATATCTAAGAAAGATGACAGGAATCACATCTCGAGCTGGCAAAGGTCTCCACGATGAACTATTTTAGGTGAGGCAGCTCAGCTTCATCGATGACCTTTTGTGTGATGCTGTTGAAGAAGTAGGACATGCGTGTGATGACCATCTTCACATACTCTGGACCAACAACCCTGATAACAATTGGAAGGAACACCGCGAGCATGATGTGGCAGTCATGTGCGTTGAAGCTAGTAAGTGCGAGGTCCTTCATCGAGACCAAGCTCTTGATGTTGGAAGAGAAACTGGTTGGAACCTTGACACCCCTAAGCCACTAGCACATGTCCCTGTTCTCATCTCTCATCAGGTTGTAACTCACGCTTAGAAGGTGGACTTTCCTGCTCTATGTCGCTGGTGTCGGGTGAATTTCAGACCTGATGTCCTGGTTGACAAGATCTATCCATGACTTTAGACCATCCTTCGTCTTAGTCTTGATGTCTAGAAGTATGCCAATGTTGCTTTTGAAGACATTCTTCTCGAGGTGCATGCAATTGATGGCATGGGGTGTATCTAGCTCCTTCTAGTACGATAGGTACTTGAGGAAACACGACTGCTTCTTAAAACGAATAGGGGCAATAGGTGGTTCCTCCATCTTATCCCGCTTCCTCTTATTTGTGTTGGTCCCATCTTCCTCTTTCTTCTTCTTTCCAAACTCAACGTCTATGCCTTTTACCATGTCAAACACCTTTTGTCTGTACCTCGTCCTTTTTGGCTCATCAGTTTTAGGCTCATCTTGGTTGTTGAAGTATTTATTCATCGTAGCTACCCATTACCTGTGCTTTTTGATGAGGAATCGCCTATGCCTCATGTACACCATCTTCTTGGATGCACTAAGGTAATTGTAGCAGGTACCGTCAATGCAAACTATGCAACCTAACTTACCTTTGATTTGCCCTAATAGTGAAAAAAGACTAGGTAAATTTGCGATGGTGACAAAGATGATGGCTTTTAGAGTGAACTCCTTCTTTAGGGACACATCCATCATCCTGACCCCATCTTCCCATAGTATCTTCATGTCCTCCATGAGCACCTCCAGGAACACATCTATTTCATTGCTTGGCTGCTTAGGTCCAAAAATAATCATGGTTCGTAAAAGATACATGCACTTCTAACATAGCTAGGGAGGTAGGTTGTAGATGGTGAGGATGACTAGCCAAGTGTTGTGCGAGCTGCTGAGGTCACCGAACGGATTCATCCCACCGGTACTCAGCGCGAACCTGACGTTCCTCACCTTGTCGCCAAACTTCTAGAACTTGGCATTGAAACACTTCCACTGCTTGCCATCGGAAGGATGCCATAGCTTGCCATCGTCCTTCGTGCGCTCATTAGATGCATGCCAGGACATCAGCTTGGCATCCTCGGGATTCTTGAATATAGCACGCAGGCGATCGATCACGGGCAGGTACCACATAGATAGGGCTGGACTTTTCCTCTCTGTGTAACCCTCTTCTTCCTCATCCTCAAGAGACGGGATCTGCTTCTTCGCATTACTCTTCTTGGTCATCTTCTTTGGCCCTCTCTCCTCGTCTGCATTAGCATGACAACTGACATTCCTCTTATACTGACTCATGCCATAGTGCAAACAGCTCTACAAGTTCTCATACTTGCCCCGATAAAGGATACAATGGTTAGGATAGGCATGGAACTTTTTAAGCTTCATCGCCACTGGCCGGATAAACTTCTTCGCTCGGTAGGTATTGGTGGGCACCTTGTTACCCTCTAGGTATGTGTCAGTAAGGATACGTAATAGGTCATTGAAGCTAGTGTCAGACTAGCCATGGCGAGCCTTCAGCATAAGCATCTGGAGGTTAAAACACAACATCGTCCAGTGCTTCGGACATTCCTTATTGAGGGGATCAATTGCCGCTTGCTTCATCTCTCTAAAAATCTCCAGCCACCTTGGGCTCCCAAACAGAACATCATCGCGGTCAAGACCATGGACGGAGCGCAATGGGGGCCAAACTAGGCTCCGCCCCCCCCCCCCCTTGTCCAGTTGTCCAAAACAAAATTCTCAAATAAGCCCACGAAGCCCAATAGCCGGAGCCCAACAACGAGAACAGAAATGCAGAATAGCTGAGCTGCCTGACTCGGTGACTTCCACCATCCCCTTCAGGCCTTCACTGCCGTCAGCCCGTCGCGTCAAGGCCCTCGCCCTCGCCAACAGCCCCCTGGGCGCCCGCCTCCGCCGTCGCAACTGCCGAGGCCGACGCTCTCCGCGCCGTCACACCTCGAGGATGAGGAAGCGTGAAGGCCACCGTGAATCGCCGAGGCTAACGCTCTCCATGCCTGCCCAGACGCAGCTGTTGTGTAATAACAAATAATAGGTGCAGTCCCCACTCCCCAGTCCGTCGTATTTGCTTCATTAGAAAGGGTAAACAGCATTTGATTTGTCTGAGCTGTAGCTGAGTAGCAACTAGCAACGATTGTAGCTTTTGCCTTTTGGTACAGCGGAGATCGGCCGCGGTGGCTTGGTCCCATGCCTTACGAATACGGAATACCTGAGCATTTGACCGGAGATGCTCTATTTCTTTTCTGGTTTTTGCTAGATGCTTGATTGAAATCAAAAATAATTGGATGCAATTTTTTTTTAGGTAGCAACAATGGTTCGCATGAAAATCTGTGTCTCTCAATCTTTTACAAAAGAAAACAAGATGAATCGGATGTTGGGAAGAGGAAGATCAAGCTCCTCCAATACTTCACTAGGTGATTTGGAACCCCAAAGGCAAGAAGGAAATGAGGAAGCAAAGCAGCAACTCGGTTAGATGAATTGGATCACCGAGGCAAGGAGAACAAGAAGGTGCAGTTGCAAATGAGTTAGATGATTCAGAGCCACAAAGACAAGAAGTCCAGGAAGAAGCAATTGGAATAGCAGAAGAAGAAGATACGGAAGGAGCCGAAGCCGAGGAAGAAGAAAATCAAAGAAATGAACACATCATGTTTCGAGGCATTGAATTCTTGGAGAGAGATCCTGCATTAAGGCCCACAAATTTGGCAATATCCAAATGACCAGAGAGATCAAGTGCGGCGAGCATACTTGCGATTAGGTCCCATGCAACCATTATTGAAGAAATACAAGCCTTCGGACCCCAAGGGCATCAACGCCGCTTCAATTATATTTGGTTCAGTCAATTTCCATCTTGGTTGGAATATTCCGAGAGCAAATGACCGTGCATATTGTTTTTTCTCTTCTTCCTTTGTAGCAAAAAAATATAAAGAAGCGAGGTGGTTTTGATGTCTTTACAAACACAAGGTTTCGATAATTGGAAGAAAGTTAATGATGGGAAAAAAGTGTGGCTTCTTAGTTCATGTCGGATCCACACCTTGCTCACAACACAATAATGCAGTAAGAGAATGTCAAGCTATACTGAATCAACCAAATCATATAGAAAATATTTTGGAAGAGGCAACTGACAGGGAGAAGGAAAGAAATCGTCTACGTCTGAGAACATCAATAGCAGTTGTTAAGTGGCTAACATTTCAGTCATGTGCTTTTAGAGGTCGTGATGAGAGACCTCAGTCAAAAAATAGAGGTAACTTTATTGAAATGCTAAAGCTTCTTGCAGAGTTCAATCCTGAAATTGCAAGTGTAATTTTAGAGAATGCCCCAAAATATTGCAAATACACCTCACCAAATATTCAAAAAGAGATTTTAAGTATTTTTGCAATGAAAGTCAGGAAGCATATCCGTGAAGAAATTGGTGATGCCAAGTTCTCTATTCTTGTGGATGGAACATGTGACGTGGCAAAGAGAGAGCAAATGGCACTTATTTTCAGATTTGTTGATATAAATGGTGTTTTACAAGAACGGTTCTTTGACTTGATACATGTAAAGAACACCAAAGCATTGACATTAAAAGAGGAATTGTGTACTGTACTGTCCAAATATGGCTTTGACATCCAAAACCTTCGTGGCCAAGGGTATGACGGTGCAAGCAATATGAAAGGAGAGTTGAATGGACTGCAAGCACTTTTTCTTAGAGAATGTCCTTATGCATATTATGTCCATTGCTATGCACATCGCTTGCAACTTGCTCTTGTCGCTGCAGCAAAGGATGTGGTTCCTGTTACCCAGTTTTTTAGCAACTTCTCTTTATTGTAAACACGGTTGATTCATCATCAAAGCGTCATGATGAGCTCCATGATGCCCAAATGGTTGAACTTGCACGCTTGCTTGCTGTTGATGAGCTCGAGACAGGTCAAGGAGAAAACCAAATCCATTCATTGAGACGTCCAGGAGATACTAGGTGGGGTTCTCACCTAGGCTCTATTTCCAGCCTTATGAACATGTTTAAAGCGATAAGTTCGGGTTCTGCAGAATCTAGCCGACGACTCAACAAAGAAAAACCGTCTTGATGGAGATACTTCTTTCGTGTACTTGACATCATTTGAGTTTGTGTTTGTCTTTGTGTATGATGAGGGAAATGTTAGAAATAAGCTGAACAACTTGGCCAAGCTTTACAAAAGAAATCGCAAGATATAGTAAATGCTATTCGCCTTGTGCAAACCACAAAAGCACTTCTCGAGAAAATGAGATCTGATGATGGATGGGAAACTTTTTTTGTCAAGTTGTTGAGTTTTGCATGAATCATGACATTCTTATTCCAAATATGGAAGAAACATACATTTTATGCGTGGTGGCCGTCGTCGTCAACCTTTGAACATTTTACTAAGGAGCGCTACTATCGAGTGGAGATATTTCGTGCAACCATTGATACCCAGTTGGCTGAATTAAACTTGAAGTTCAATGAGAAGGTGATGGATCTTTTGTCCATTAGTGTTACACTTGTACCAAGAAATGGATTTGTAGATTTCCAAACAAAAGAGATATGTAGAATGGTTGAGAAGTACTACCGTTGGATTTCAATCAAGAAATGATTGGGTTAGGCGTCACTAAACCATTTTATTATTGATGCTTCTACCAATGAAGACATGAAAAATATTTCTACCTTGGTGGACCTATGTCGAGGCTTTGTTAAGACAGGACGGCATAGAATCTTTAACTTGGTTGATAGATTGATCCGTTTGCTTGTTACTCTCCCAGTTTCAACAGCTACTGCAGAACGTATTTTCTCTGTCTTGAAGATCGTCAAGACAAGGCTGCGCAACAAGATAGAAGATCAATACCTTGCCAACAGTTTGCTTGTTCAGGTCGAAGGTGAAATTGTAGAACACTACACCTATGATGATATAATCTCAGATTTCAAGGATCTGAAGAACAGAAGAGCAGACTTTTAGGATTTGATAGTCCTATGGCGTTGGACAAATATTTTGGCTTGGCTTGTTTAATAGTTTGTGGTGACTTACATTTTGTGAAATGTGATCCAACTATAAATATATATAACTAGCTAGTTTTAGTTCATAACTTGGTTAAGAGTAGTCTGACAGTCTCTGTAGTCACTTGATATGTGATTAGTTAAATTTATCATAGTATATATGGTTTTATTTCTAACGTCAACATATTTCACTTGTGTTTTTGTCAAGTTGGCCCCCCCTTGATTTTGTGCCGTGCTCCGTCGCTGGTCAAGACGGTTAGCGATTGACTCAAAAAGGTCCGCAGTCTCTTGATCCCTCAATGGCTCACCGCCATCACCATCATCGTCGAATACCATGCCTTGGAGCATATCATCCATCGTGAAATAATCACGATCTACATTATCACCAGTAGCAGCATTATTGTGCCCGATAGCCGCTGCTGATGAGTTTTGTTGTTCGCCATTCATCACCGCCATCATCGTTGTTGATGAGTTCCCTCCTCTAGATGCACTAGCACTCGGAACCTCTGCTTCCCCATGAAACTTCCAAACAGTGTAATCCTTGATGAAACTGTACTGGATCAAGTGAGATTTCACCATGTCATCTCCGTGGGCAAGAAGGTTCTTATAGCTCTTACACGGATAGATGGTGAGTTCCCGCTTTAGACACAGACGATGCCTTTTGGCAGCGACAACAAACTTTGTCACATGTTCTAGAAAAGTTGGATCTAGCCTCGATGTCTTGTACATCCATTCCCTGTGCATGACCGCGAACACCTTGCATACACAACATACAACAAAAATGGTGCATATAAGCACAGCAGTATGGAAAAAGACAACTGGGTAGCTCTAGATCTGATGATTTCCCTATCCTCCAAATAGATCTAGATCTAGATCTTGAGAAAAAACACCCAAATCATGGAAGAGAGATAGGAGTGAGGGTATGAGAGCGAGAAACAACCTCTTGCGGTGCCCCACTTTAACAAATCCAAGGGTAAAACCTCTCCCCCTAGAAAATGGCCACTTTTAGGGTTTTGAGGTGAAAACCCTTAAAATGGAGGAGCCACGAGGAAGAAGGGTGGGTGCGGCTGTATTTATAGCCCAGACTTAACCAAGGTGGGCGCCATAGGGAAACCACCTCGGTTAATCTCTTATTAACCAAGGCGGTTGCCTTAGGACAAATGCCTCGGTTAAACGATTAACCAAGATGGTTACCCTTAGCAAACCGCCTCGGTTAATACCGTTTAACAGAGATGGATGACTTAGGGTAACCGCCTTGGTTAATCGATTAACCGAGGCGGTTGTGTTAGGGAGACCGCCTCAGTTAATAAGCTTTAACCGAGGTGGTTTCTTTACAGTGCCTGCCTCGATTAAGGATTAACCAAGGCGGTTGCTGGCCTGGCTGCCATGCCTCGAATAACTGAGGCGGGCAGCCAGGCCAAACACCTCAGAGGTCCAAAGTGAAAAGCGGCACAAAATAAATCCTGTAATAGTATCTGCTCCTCCCAATCACATGAAACCATTACGCGTCAGCAACGCCACCAGAACCAACACTGCCATTGCTCCCTCTATCCAATCCCTCCCCCCTACGTCGCTCCACTCTGCTGAGGTCTAATTTGGAAACTATAATCCCTTTAGGATTTTGGACTTTTCCCTAGATGGGTAATCCATGGGGATATCATTCTAATTGCCATTCTAGTTCTTACTAGGGGTTTTCTCTCCCTAGGGTTTGCTCCCCTTACTTTCAAAAGAGCTCTGAAAGGGGCCCACAAGCTAGTCAGCCAGAGAGGCAAGTCAAATGAGCATTGACCACCCGACTTGTTACGTTTTTTGAATATCCATTATTGTATTTTTGTATTCTATAAACTTCTTTGAACTACTCATGCGAAGCATATATGATTACTTGTAGCTTTCGTGTTCATATGTTGTTTGGCACAACAAAATACAGCCCAGCCTTCATAAAAATATTGATATTATAATCAAATTAAACATGATGATGATGATGATGATGATGATGATGATGATGATGATAATAATAATAATAATAATAATAATAATAATAATAATAATAATAATAATAATAATAACAACAACAACAACAACAACAACAATAATAATAATAATAACAACAACAATAATAATAATAATAAAAAATGTAAAAAGTTATTATTATTATTATTGGTGTTACTCCATATCTATATATCTATAAAAAAAGCTTTTCCCTATCTCTAGCTCTCTTCCTAGTCCGTCCTTTGTACTTTTTTCTCAAATACGTAAAATGTTTGTGCATCATTGTATTAAGAACGAGAGATTTGAGTTTTTACATCGACGCGCCACTATGTGGCGCACTAGGTGGGGCAAATGATCAGACATGCAACTTTTCCCCGCCAAGCGGACTTAAATACAAGTCGATTACTCGCGCAAGAGACAACGTAACTTCGTCGCGCCGGCGTCGGTCCACTGGTTTGTGATGTGCTTGATGTCCGTGAGGATCTACATTACCGTGGATGAGGCTTGGCGAAAGCATCTCCCATTCCTTTCCTTCCCAGAGCTCCCAAGCTACAAGCGCGAAGAGAGAGTCCACTCCTTTCCTCTTGTTCCCCCTCCAGCGCGCTCGCCATGCGTTCCACCATGACAGCATGTCCTTTGTACTCTCTTTTTGTCCTTTAGGTCTGTCTTCTCTCACTCTCACTCTTTGGATCATCGTCTCACTTTTGTCCTTAGCGTTTGGAGCTACAAAACCTTCATTGGTGTCATAGCACGTGAGCCCTTTTCTATCACCCTTATTGCTTGAAGTTTGGCATCACACCACTGTTGTCATGGCTTGGTCACTTGAGTCCTCGCTCTCACTGATATTGCTTTTAAGTTTGGAACTGCATGCAAAAATCTTCAATGGCATCACATCACTCATGTCATGGCTTGGTCATATTGTAACACCCAAAAATTTGCATTCTTTGAAATAGGTAAAATTGATTTAATTACGCTTTTATGTGTGCATTCAAACATAGGAAATAATATTTTTTTATGAAATTAAAATCAACTATAAGGATAGATTCATGTTGATGCATTCATGATGCTGCATTTTTATTTATGTGATGATTGGTTTTGACCAGAAGGAATTCCAAATGTTTTTGAAAATTTTATTTACAAAGCTGTGAAAATAAAAAGAAAAAGAAAAGCAAAAAATCCTTCACCTTTCCATCCCTTTCGGTTTTTGGCCCAGCCGGCCCAGTGCCGCAGCCAGCCCCTCTCCTTTCCCGCTATGCAACCGCAACTCGGCGCCTTTGGGCCGAAGTGGCCTAGCAGATCAAGCCGCGTAGGCGCACCCGCCTTCTTTTCCTTCACTCCTAGGCCGGCCCAATCCAAGCAGAGGCGCGCTGCACTCTCTTTTCTCCCTTTCTCTGTCACACTGACGCGTCGGACCCGCAGGTCAGTGACCGCGTCGTCTCCTACCTTGAGTCCGACATGGACTCTGTTCAGTTTGGAAAGCGCCGCAGGGAGCTCCTAAATTCCAGGGATTCGGCGTAATCCGGACGAGCAGGCGTCCTATAAGAAGGAGAGGACCCCCCCTCGTCTCCTTTTCCGCAACTCCGAGCCGCCTTTGCCTCGCATCGAGCTAGCAGCGCCGCCGCTAGCCCTAACGCGCAGCCGCCTACATCGCCCGCCGTACCAGCGTCTCTCCGTCATCTGCAAGGCGTAGCCGAGGTCCGCGACGTGGCTACGAAGTATTCCAGCGCCTCCCCTTGTTCCCTCTTGCTCTCTATGCCCCGCTGACCCTCGCCGACGTTGTAGAACACCGGCGTACGCCCCATCAAGCCACGTGCCGCTCTCGTCCCGAATCCGACCG